AACGTTGACACCAGCGAGCAAGTTGCAGACGTGTTCACAAAGCCTTTTACGGAGCGAACAAAATGGATACATGCGTTGAAGCTCATTGCTCACACCTACAAGTCGGTCGACCCTCAAGCCGGAAGAAATTCCGTGTCGAAATCTGTTCCCGCTGCTCCGAAGTCGGTGTGCATTACAACAGAGCAACTGGAACATGTTGCAAAACTGCTTCGCCGAGCTGATCGCTATGATTTCGAGGATTTCGAGCAGGTCGCCGAAATGATGTACGACAACCTTCGTATGTCGAGCTCAAGGCTTCGCAGTGTCGTTCGTTCCGGCACCGAGCTGGCTCCCAAATACTTCGTGTTTGGGCTGTGGACACATGGTGGGTGCTTCGGCCTAACCAAGCGTACTGGTCAAATGTCCCAACTGTGCCGCTACATAAATGGTTTCATCCGCAAGCACGCTCCAAAGCATTTTACCTGGACTTCGTTTGTCATCAATTTTATGGGCAGGGCTGGCGTTCACAGCGACAAGTTTAATCTCAGAGGCAGCCAAAACTGGTCCTTCGGCTTCGGTCCCTATCAGGGGGGCGAGCTCTGGGTGGAGGATCCCGACCAAAGGATGGACGCTTTCACTGACAAAGACGGTAAGACCTGGCTTGGCCGCAACCTTCAAACTTGTCGAAAACCCGTGCTCCTAAACCCTCACCTTCGACATGCTGTTCAACCCTTTACAGGAAACAGGCATTCTCTCATTGCCTACTCATCAGGGGGGTGGACAAAGCTGGGTGACGATGACAAGCAACTCCTACAAGACACTGATTTTAGGACGCCCCGGGCTCAGTTGAAACATGCGTGCGTTTGTTCATGTGCATCCCCTCACGATGAGGGGGGTAAAAATTGTCCCAAAACCACTCCCGAAACGGTCGCGTCGGTTTTGCGCGCATCGATCGGGAACGCACAAACATACACCACGTGCACAAGTGCTTCGGTTGAGCCTGCTGTACCGACTCTCTCTGTGCTAGCTGGCTCTCTCCAAGTGGTCAGCAGTATTGAGGCATTAGGAACAATGTCGCGATTGGTCGCCCATGGTGCGGGCTACTCCTGCGATACTGGTATGGAGGGCCGACCTTTGGCACTGCAAGGACATCTCAACATGCTCGTCAACGCCGGACTGAGCGTGGAGTACTTGCAGCTCCAGGCGGGGAAGGAGTATGACGCACTCCTCAAGTCCTATGAGGTCTTCCCCCCACAGACCATCGCCAGCCTCAGCCTCAATGACCCCGAGATTCCAACGCCGAATCTGCTTAAGCTGGCTCGCATCTCGAACGAAGGTCTCAGCAAGCTCCAGCCAACCGAAAGGTTGCGCCGAAGTCGCTTTCTGCTAGTGGTGACGGACTCAGTCACGTCCCTTGGACGACAGAACACCAAGGGGCAATGGAAATTCTCCATTCCCGAAGAGGAGATCTTCATGGCAGCACTGACCCTCAGGTACACGAGCGATAAACTCCACATGTGCTGGGGAAAAACGCTGTCGTGGCTCACTTGGCAGGTGCAGGAGGAGATCCAGGCAATCCGTGCCAAGTATGGGTCGGAGTGCGAGATCGATGTGATCGTTTGGTGGTCAGGAAATGAAGTTGCTGGACGACGAGGATGCATCCCCACGCGGCTCGCTCCGGGCGCGGCATATTCGACCTCCCAGACCTCGGCAGAAGATGTTGCGAGGAAGGTGAGGCGCTGCGCCGACGCGCTAGCCACCCTAGCGGGTGAGCCACATATCGGGTTTGTCCGCATCGTCGGCAACGTTGACCACGAGACCTACAACTTGCATCCCGCGTACAACGAATTCATCTCCAAGATGTTTCATGAATTCACAAGTCGCGGATTGCAAGTTCAAAACGCCACATCCCAGGCAATGAAGCTGTCCTATTACGATGATTTTCATCTTTGGGATACCCCCGAAAACCGCAAGCAGATCCAAGACTACATCTACACCACGGCGCTCCTTGGCGACCTGGAAAGGGAAGCGTCACGGTATGCAGATGTTCTGGATCGACTAGGAGATCTTTTCCCCTACATCGAGGTGGAAGGCGGCTACAGGATGGACAGTGCAGCAGGTCGTGAAGCCCTACGCCTCTACAAGGAGGTGGTTGAAAGTGGCAGAAAAGACCTGAAGGTCCACAAGATCAAGGCGCCTGTGCCCGTGAAGATCAGCAAGGAAGACACCTGGTGGGAGGTCCCCGACGCTACCACTGCGCATGAACCAGTTGCCGCACCCGCTCAGCAAGACAAAACGATCGCCCGATCAGAGGTGGAGTATCCTGTGGTTTCGGACGTATCGGAGATCGATGAGGTCAAGGGTGAGGTCGTCCAGACCGAGTCAGAGAAGGCTGAGTACCTTCCCCTGAACGAGGTCGTGCTCGCCGATGATGGGGATTATCGACCCCCCCTGGCGTCAGACGGCCGGGCAACAAGCGCAGCTACCCGAAAGGGTAAGTCGTCGGGGCAAAGCGAGGATGTCTACGCCCGCGAGATGTACCAGGACGCATCCAAAACCCATGGTGGAGAGGAAAGCCAGGAGCAGGACCTCCCGATGACCGGTTACTGGTACAACGGGGAGCTCCACGACCTTGAGCCTCTGCCAAGTGCCGATCTCCGCAAGTATGAACAGCGGGTGAACTTTAGGCACGGCGACCTCAAGCTGCTCAGCTTGCTCTTGAGGGGACACCAGAATGACTGGTATGGGCTGGACTTCGACATCGCCATGTGGACGGATGTCGATAAGCTCCTGGACCGCTTCAATGAAGCAACTCGTCGAAAATGGGGCGTAAGACAGCTGCTGCAGGTGACCGCGCAGGACAAAAAGAGGAGGTTCGAGATTCTTGGGATCCGACATGAGATCAGCAACAGCCTGAATCTCTCCCTCTTTCCTGTGCGGATCAGAGCAGTCACCGGCCACTCGGAGAAAGTGATGCGCATCGAGTCAGACGAGTTCCTTGCCCGGAGGTTTCTCACCAATGAGAATTTGGATGTCGCTCCACAGGTCATATACCACCGCACGGATGCGAAGAGCGTGGAGTTGATTTTGAAATCCGGGATCAAGGTCGCTGGCGGCAGAAAGGGCGGGCGTGCCCATGCGTACTTCTCACCTACTACCCTCAAGGACGAGAAGTACACTTCTGGACTCAGGTCAACGCAGCCGTTCCAGATTGCGGTGAACCTGCATGAAGCTCTCCGAGATGGCCTCGTCTTCTTCGAGAACAGTACCCGCGGGATCTTGACCCGTGCAGTCGTTGGCCCTCAGTATATCCTGTCATGTGTGGACACCAACACGAACAAGGTGATCTACGCAAGAGCAGGAGAGGCCCAGCCTGCAGCCACCCGAGAGGGTGAGCCGGATACTGTTGAACAAGCCTCCTCGAGCTCAACAGTCAAAGCCTTGGCATCAAGGGCTGTCCCAGAAGACCAACCCAAGCGAGTCAAGGGCACTGTTGGCGCTTTCATCGAGGCAAAGAAGGCGAGGATCGATGCTGCTGCGTTGGAATCCATTGAAGAGCAAGACGAGGCATCGGTGGATGACCAACCGCAGCCTGCGCAGGAGGTATCCGACACGGAAGAGGCAGAGAGCGACAGCGAAGCCCCATACGGGAGCTATCCATGCTCGGCCTGCCAACGCATCGTCCTGCTTGGGCAGCGCTTTTGCATGACATGCGGTGAGAACCAGTTTCCGGAGTCCAACAAGGCAAGCCGCCAGTACACCTCGTTCCAACAAAACCGCCGCACCACACTCCTCAAGCTGACGTACAATGCTCGGAATGAGGATCTCCTGGGACACCTCCGTGGCATCGCAGAAAAGTTTAGCAAACAGCGGGGCTCAGTCTCCCTGGATGCGCTGATCATACGCGATGCCAAAGACAAGTTCCAACGTGCGAGAAAGCTCAAGTTCGACTCCATTGCTGACCGGTTGGAACGTGATGCCACCTTCTTCCTGCAGATGATGAGGAACGGAATCACGGTTCAGGATGCGTGCCGAATGGACCTCCTGGTGAAGGCCGTGCTCCCGGACCCAGGCCGCACGGAAGAACAGCGGCTTCTGCAGGCGGGGTCGAACTACCTCAGCGGAGCTTCCCGAAAGGGAATGCCGGGCAAGTTGGTTTACTATGGCGATGCGCCAATGGATGGCCTAAAATCGGCTGGACTGATTGACCAGTTCTCCGAGAACCCAATCGGGATGGCCTACGGCGGCGCCTTCATCGGCTTCAGCTTCTATGCCGATATCGCCACCCGCTTGTCCGGTGCCCGCACAATCTACAGCTTCAACGGCATTGTGGAAATCAAGCATGAAACGCCGGAAGGCATGATTGCCGAGCTGCAAATGCTGGCAGCCGAATGCATCCACTCTGCCGAGGAGCAGGAAAGAATCACCGCCTACCACGCCGCCAAGAATCGGGAGACGGCACAGCAGCGAACGGAGGCTGCCACTACTACCCGTCCATCGACGCAGAGCGCCTCATCAAGGGACACAGCTGTTCGTGAAGCACCCTGGCATCAAGGGCAAGAACAGTGGTGGTCAGACCGTGAATGGCGCGAGTGGCGTGAGTGGCGTGAGCCAGCTAGTCAGGGTTGGGGCTCATCCCGCTGGAGCAGTCAGCGCGGATCGCAGTGTTGGAGCCGCTGAATGCCCACTTTGTATGCACAATAGCTCAAGTTTTGCTTTCCCTTCACCTTTGTTTCGGTCATAGCGGGCGGGACAACATGGGCCACCCGAAAGGGTGTGTCGTAATCCTCTGTCCACCTTAGCTTGTGCCAAGCACGGTGAGGGGGGTGTAGTTTTTCATGGAGGAATTACACTCCTTTTGCGAGCTGTGCATACCATCGCTTTACCCTCGACTGTGGCTCAAGTTGCCGATAAAAAGAGGCGTACTTAACGGTTTATATGTTCCCTCATGTGCTGACCTGAAAACTTCAAGGCTCAGGTTCAGGGTTCGCGGCCTCAGCCTGTCGTAGCCTTCCCCGGAGGCGTGCCTTGGCTACCTATGGGGTATCATCGACGAGGAGCCCAATCCGAGCAGGCGGACATCCGACGGGTCTCTGTAGTTTAGGCGTGCTTCTTCAAGCCTTGCAGGAGGTCATACGTTAAATAGAGAAGACATGGAAGCCTAGCTTTTTGGTTCCGGCAATTTCCATGCAATACAACTAATGCACTAACTGTGCTCAAATCACGGCAAAGCATTCTTCCTGTTATTTCCAAAAAAATTGGAACCACCTCGTAGCATATTTGTATTGCAAAGGTGCATTGGATGAACGCGAGAATTATGGAGAGCTTAAGTTGTTTAGCTTGGGACCACGGGGTTTTAGGACAGGTTAGTGAGGCTGGAGTTTTTGGTCACCCTGATGTTGTTGTTGCCCGAAGTGGTCGCATCTTCTTCTCCTGAAGAGTCGGAGGTAGAACGCTGTTGCGTCGGAGCTGCCTCGGGGCAGGCTCTGGAACGGCTCGGACGCAACCCGAACGCAGCCTGATGACTCGACTTTCTTCAAGCTGCTGGACCGTGAGCCCTAAGACCCCAAGCCTGCAGCAGTACAATCAGCCCTTCAAGCCTTATGCTTCCCTCCGTTGCGAGCGAAGTTCTGACGTGTAGCCCCAGGATGGTTTGCGTTCATGGAGGAGGGTTTCGGTTTGGAAGGACGCTAAGCGTTCCAAGTAGCTTGTGTCCGGCTTGACAACAGCCATCAACAGAATAATTTGCTCCATGCTTCTTCATTTTTTACCCATGGTTGACTCCATGAAGCTCTCTGGAAGATCCTCGAAGGAGGGCATTGCGAAGCAGTGGCCTCGACCTCCGGCGCCTGACCTGCTCTGCTTTGCGCAGCGCACGGGGGCGCGATGGGAGGCGGCCATCGGGCCTGCGTGGGTGAAGCTTTCATGTTCCCACTCTTGAGTGTCAGTTGCCTTGGTAAGGGTCTGGGCTGGGAGGACGTTGCCTGGAATGAGCCACCTTTCTCTGGCCTGCGTGGTGTCGGAAAGCTGACGCCCTTCCACCGTGTTGCGACAAGGCATGCAATTTTCATCCCCACGAGACCTCTGTGTGAACTTCGCCCCTCATTTCGAGCTCCGTGATCTGAGTCAGGGTTGTCGGCTTCGCTTTGTCAATCGTGGGACCCACACATAACCCCTGAACAACAAAAGCACGGTGGCAACCCATCGCTTACGCACCTCCAGTCGATCATCTTTTTCGCTTAAAGCACGACATACCACATATACGAAGTGCATAAGATCAGTTCTTGAAGTCTTAACCAAATGCAGGTTCTCTGTAGAGCGGTGATGACTACCTGGTGTTGACGAGAGGATGAACAGGCACGTGCTATGATGTCTGCATCGGGTCCCTCCGTGTGACGTCTAAGGTGCAAGCGCTGGGCAATGCTGGAGCCTTCAGTGACCCCGGAGCCACCGACCTTATCGCCCGCGCTCTCGAGGCTTTCGGGATGCCTCTGTCCGATCAAAACATCCCGAAAGCTGTAGCCTCCAAGGTGAGGGGCATGGTCGGATGCTCACGCTTGTGCGTAGAGCCTTGGTTTATAGGCAGTCTTTACACTCAAGTGACTGAAGCTGGCTCGCAACGCTTGGATCGCCTGGCCTTGAAGGCTGGCGCTGACTGGGAGGTGGCGAGCTCTCCCAATCCCACTCTTGCCTAAGCCTAAAGTTCTGGACTTGGATCCCAGTGTAGCGCTCCGGCCGCGCAGCACTTCAAGCAGTCGAGTTTCGGAAAGGCTGGGGTTGGGGATGTGGAATCGTCAATGTGTTGGGGTTTCAAGCTTGCTGTTGCGTGCCAGTCAAGGACTCGGAAGCATCGGGGGGATCCTGGTGCCCGCACGTACCCCAAATGCTTCATTTTGACCGTGGGAACCCCACGCCCAAGTCTCACAGAGGACAGGTTGAGGTGTAATCACACAGGAGTCCGCACCGCTGGAGAATTCCCCAGGCTGACCCTAAACTCGTAGCCCTAAGCGCCCGAAGCAAACCCTAAACCATAGACCCAAGATCCTCTTAGGGAGTCTAGGGGTTTAGGGCCAAGCATCGGTGAGGTGGACGACCCCCAGCTTCCAGGACCGATGCGCTCCTCGACATCCTTGGTGGGGGGGGGGGGCATTAGGAGGAGAGGGTTATATAAGGGTCCTGCTTCGATGATTTTTTTCTCCCTTATTTGCTTGAATGGGATGCGAACGGCTCAAAGCGTCTTGGAGTGATTCAGCTGTTGCTGTCTGGTCCCGGATTTAGACCGAGTTGTCAAGTCATTCAAGGTGTCGCGTTTATTGTGCCGATTGTTGGAGTGTCGAGCTTTTGGTCTTGTTGATGATCGGATGGTGTTCGGAGTGAAGTGGCAGACACGAAGAGGCACCTAGCTCGGCTGAGTGGCTCCACGTGTCTGGAGGCCCTTCTGATGTCAGCAGTGGTACCCCCACCCTACACTTGTTGCATAAACGTGAAATAAGCCGCATGCGTAGGATTCAGGGTCGGCCAACGGATCTCGCAGAAACCGCAGTGTCTCCAAGAATAAGTGTTTGTGCTGGATGCGCTTGATGAGGACCCAAAGGCATGTAAATCTGGGAACTGGTCTTGACACTTAATGAGGCTTCCGCGTCAACATTCCAAAGCTCATGTGGAGACATCGACATGAGACGGTCGCTCGAAAGCATACAGAGGGCTCGGTCAGTTGTGCGGCATGTCAGGCGAGTGTGTGGATGTGGATCAACACAGGAAGGGCAGTTCTTGTGTATACGGCAGGCGGGCAGCCAAACTGCACGGATATGTTCCGGGCCGTCTATCGAAACTGCCGCCATGTCCAGTGCTTGGAATCGTCTGTAGGGCCAAAGGGCCCTATCAACCATTCACTGCTCCTCTCCCAATCTTTACAACTGCAGGTACAGATGCTGGCCCTGCTCACATTCCGCCGAGCAAGGCTCCGCGAGGTGGATGGGGACATCAAAGCACAAGAGACTGCGCCGCCTGGTGGAAGGCATGTATGACTCGTGGTTGCGGCATGTAGGTGGTTCAAGAGTGGGGTTCGGGTCTTAGGGCCTCAGGGTCTCTGGTTTGGGCTGCTTCGGCTACCTGCCTAGGTTTTGCCTGGCTGCACTGGCACGGCTAGTAGCCGCCACACAGCCAGTCACGTTTTCTGTTCGCCACTCGGACTGGCCTATGATGGCATATGAGAGAGTTCGGTAGTACAGGTGACTCGGTGTGGCTAACAAGCAGTATCGGCTGAAGGTCTGCACGTGACTCCGAACCTGTCCGAAAAGGTCCAATGAGCATTCAGAGGGTCCCGCTAGCATGCGAAGCTGTAGGGCTCCAACCCAGACCTTTGCAAATTTCTTGCATCCTCAAAGAAGCAGCAGTCAGCAGACCTGGTTTTTTATCAGCAATCGGACTCAGGTCACCCGTTGGTCGTTCTGGTTGTCAGCTTTCTTCCTCGGGTCCCGCCGGTGATCGGTTACGACTTCGAAGCACATTGGGCGTTCTCCGATGGAAGCAAGTGCTTCCGCCAACGCCGGAGATGACCAAGAGTGGCGAAGAGGATGAAAAATGCGTCCAGCGGTAGTTGAGCCGGCCAAAAAGCCAGAAGCTGGCACCAAGACATGTCACGGACACCAAACGCACCCCAAATGCCTTGGCCGTCAAGCCCTAAGCTATCTGCGTGCGCACGCACTACACGTGGCATGCAGCCGTGACTCTAGTGATATATGGTTCAGCGTCGAGCGTCCTGGGCCCCCCCCCCCCCATGGTATCCCCCCCCCCAAGTCTACTCTACGGTCCCTAAACCCTAAACCCTAAACCCTAAACCCTAAACCCCTAAACCCTAAACCCTAAACCCTAAACCCTAAAACCTAAACCCTAACCCTAAACCCTAAACCTTAAGTCTTAAACCTTAAACCCTAAACCCCTAAAACCCTGAACCCTAAACCCTAACCCTAAAACCAACCCCCAACCACACCACAGGGGGGTGGGGGGGATCATCTTAGTACCCATCCGCGGGGAAAACCCTAAACCCTAAACCCTAAACCCCCTAAACCCTAAACCCTAAAACCCTAAAAACCCTAAAACCCAACCCTAACCCTAACCCTAAACCCTAAACCCTAAAACCCTAAAACCAACCCAAACCACACCACAGGGGGGGGGGGGGGTACGGGGGGGGGGGTGGGGGGGTAGGGGGGGAGGGGGGGGGGGGCCCGCCGGGGCTGAATCATATATTGAAGGGTCGCTCAAGAACCTTGAATCTTCAGCCTTCAGCCCTGAACCGGAAAAACCTGAATCGAACCCAGGTCTTGGGTTGGTGTCACTCGCACTCAAGCCCGACGGCATCAGCATCCTGACCAGCCAGGTGTGCTGTTTTGAGACCTGCACGTCTTGAATCACCATCTGACTGGAGTGACTGTAGAGTCTGGAAGATTTTGGGACTCGATCTCTTGGTGTCTGTCTCTTTGCTTCGCAAATTGTCCTGGGAGGTTTTTGGGCTTCAACTGGAGGGCATGAGAGGGGTTTAGGCAGTTTCGGTTGATGTGCTTGATGGGCTCTTTTGTCCTCACTTTCTAAACCTTGAAGTGAAATTTTGCCCTTCGTGAGAAGGCTTGGGTGCTACGACAGACTCGAGCGCCGACAGCATCGTCGCGGGCTCGGACTTTGTTTTAAACATGTTCAACACCTGGAAAGCTCGGTTTGTTTCATTGCCGAGGGAGGAGCGGTTGATTGCATTGTCACACGAGTCGGTTCGAGGCCGCGTGGTAGTAGCATCGCGTCACGTATGTGGTCGTACCATCTTGAAGATGCCGGTTCTCATGGATGTCTAACTTAGCCTCGGAGACGTCGCCATATTAAACATGAGATCCCTGCTTCTCATGCTTCCCTTCTTTAAAGTTTTCGAAGTCAGCTTCTCTTTATCTCTCCTGCTCGAAATGGCAATGGCGAGTCAAACGCTTTCCATTAGCCCGATGTGTTCCTGAGCTTTCAGAAAGCAACATCATAGGAGTGAGGAAGTTTCAACGGTACTTCTCAGGTGGAGGTGCAGCATGGGAGTCCTGCTTCGAGCATCTGCCCGGTCACGGTGGAGAGCCATCCTCCCTGAAGCAGCGCGCTGTGTGGCACGTCTCCGGCAGTGCGCTACTTTTGGGCGCCTTTCTGGAGCAGGCTGAGGCAGAGATTTCGCTGATTTTAAGAGGGTTTCGGTTCGAGGGGTCGTCTGGCATACGGCTTCAGAGAGGCAACGTGTTGGGCCCTTCAATGAAGAACGAGCGCCAAACTCCAAACACAAAACTTCAGCACCTGTGAAACCTTCAGCTCCAAACGAGCAGTTTCGGCCTTCCAGTCCCGCTGCAGCGACATGTGCAATGCTGGCGCCGAGGATGTTCTCAGAGAGGGCCAAGGAAAGCGAACACCTCCCCCCCAACCCGAACATCCCTTCCTCCTGTCGCTTTCCCTGAAGGTAAACTTTGCTTGAAGGCGACGCTGCTGGCCGGAGACGGGAGCCTCCTTGTGCTGGGTCCCAGTTGAGCGGTTCCTGGGAGGTTTACGGGCTTCAACACTTTTGTGCAAAGGGGAGAGGTCCCCCCTGCAAAGTCCAGAGGATGGCCTTCAGGCACGGGGCGTTATTTGTTGTTGAGTCGTCGTTAGGTGCCCCAGTGCGCGGACCTCTCGGTGACGTTCGAAGTCTCTGCGCTTTTCCCGTGGCCGCTACACGCTACACGGGACCGTGGGATTAAGATCGTCACGGCATGTCTTCGGTGCCGGCGCCGTGGCGCGACGGCGCGATGTGCCTGAAAGCATCTTGATGGCTCTTCAGACTCAGATGTGTCCCAGTATATGAGGTGAACTTATTTCACCCTGCCATTTTGCCAAGGCGGGAAAACTGGGCGGTCTGCAGCAGTTCTGGTGAGCTTGCAGGGCAGAATCCAGGCCGGTCTCCTGCAAAGTTCAGGGCAAAGGCGGGTTGAATTGTTTATTTGCGTCGTTCGTCGGAGGCACAAAGGCAGAGCTAGCCCCCGGAAGATGAAGCAGAACCGAGGTGTTCAGGGATGGACAGTCCGTGCTCAACGCGAAGCGGCAGTTCAGTGGCGCTGTCATGGAGGACTCCAGCAACCCCAAACCGTCCCAAACACATAGAACCCAAGACCTAAGCCTGCAATTGCATGGCTCTCAAGCTCCCACTCCCCTCTCTGCAAAGCAAGACGAAGGACTCCGGCATCATGGTGCTGGTGCACCGAACGGTGATGAGTTCGTGGTTTACAAGGAGCTGTGCACCTGATACAGTTTGGGCCTCGGCGCTCGAAGTCTTGGCCTCCAGACTGTCGGAGACTGTCGGAGATTGTCGGAGATGCGATTGTTGCCACTTACAATGCCATCGGGCCATGTGTATTTAGGCAAAGTCTCCGATTCTTGAGGGCCTTACGGTTCAGCAAATGCCTTTGCACATCGCAGCGTGTTCACCGCCATCGAACGTCTCGGTTGTGTCTCCGTTCGGGTCAGGAGGCTATCGATACTGAGTTACTTGTATTGCAGTTCGATACCGATGTAGGTTCGATGACGACAACAAAAGGCACTGCCGAACATCCACGCTCAGCCAACTTCACTGGCAAACCTTCAGAGACCACGCCGTTGATGAACAGTGTTCTCAGGACTCGATTGCCCTCGCAAGCTCGACACCACCAACCCGCAGCCCTAAAAAAAGAAAGCTCAAGCTTCAAGCCTTTAAGTGCCCCGCCCCCCCCACCCGGCACCCATGCACACATGCACGTGTCCATGCGAGCTCAGGCTCTCAGGGCAGCCCTCCAGTGCAGCCCTGCTGAGCAGGGGCTTTTGCGCCAGGCGGGGGCATGGTCCAATACGAGGGCATATGACGATCAGAGACGGCCGCCTACAAACGCGGCCGCATGCCGTCACCGTCACTTCAGGGAAGTGGATTCATGATGATTCATGTCAGGCCCTTAGGCATACTTAGGCAAATACAGCAACTGCCCTGGGCAGGAGCTGAAGAGCGGCGCCATCCCAAGCCTTGCTTGGCGCAGGCGCGGCAAAACTTCGTTTCTGCCCCCCCCCCCGCCACGCCACGGCATGTTTTCCGTATTGACTGAATTCCTTATATGATTAGGGCGCCAAAAGAGCGACAATTGAAGTCATTCCCCAAACTATTTGGCGGTGCTTGGTGCTTGGCGCTCAATGATGGGTGCCGAGGCAAAAAGCAAGAGCCGCTCGAATGCCAAGCAGCAAAGAACCCTGGAAGCTCATGCTGAGTTTCACTTCGCTCCCGGTTCGGCAGGGTGTGCCAGCGGACACGGCGGACACGGCGGGGACGCGCCAACAGTTGCATCTCACTTGCCTCTTGGCCGAGATGGAGTCGGTTTAGGGCAAAGCTGAAAGGCCCTGGGGGCCGGCAGAACTTGGGCCCCACTGACTCACCCACCGCCCAAGTTGAACTTCGCCGGAGAATGGAGAGTCTTTGCCCGAAAAGTTGCGACATGTTACACCATGAGACCCATCACCAGAGGGTGGACATCTGCTTTCCACTGTGGGCCGAGTACTGGTTAACAGTTCAGGATCCTGAAGATGCAGATAGATTCCGAACACTCAGTCTGGAAGCCACTTGAACACGTCAAATTTGACCCGCCGGCTAACATCTCGAGACGGCTCGAAGGATGCGATGTTGGCATACATCTTGGCATTTCCGTCTCTTTGTGTGTCCCCAGGGACCTGTTTTGTAGACCTTGTCACATTCTGTGCCGCGCACCGGTCCAGGTCCCGTGGAGCTCTGCTCATTGCCAAGGACCTTTCTTGGGTTCAAGGGTGTCTTCATGTGTCTTCTTGTGACTGTTGTGATCTTGCGTGACCAATGTGTTTAGGATCGCTTCGAACACATGGGCCACCACGACAAACAAAGCCAAGCCTTTCGAGCCTTAGAGGCTTAGAGCCTCAGACTGCCCAGGAGTCGGCGCCGTCTGATGCCATAACGCCTGTCTGGTGTCCGACGCAGGATTGTTGGGCTACGTGCTTGGGCTTTTCAGCTAGTTAATTTCGGCGGCTGTGTGGGCAGAGGGCATAGAAGATGGGGGGGGGGGGACTCGAGTTGCACGCAAAGCCAACACTTGGCACATTTGGACACTGCGGCGCTAGCTTCAGTATCGGGGACGTCCTCCCTACCACGCATCCGCCTCACATTTGTACTGTTCTACATGCTCTTACGCGTGCTCCTTGCCAAGTTTGTTGCTGAGTGGGGGGGGGCAGTGGGGTTCATGCAATTCAAGAGGCTCCCTTTTGACAGGGATCGGGATGCAAGGAACATT